AATGTGGTGGCCGATACTTTGAGTAGGAAGGTTGTGAGTATGAGTAGCCTTGCGTATATTTCGATTGGTGAGAAACTGTTAGCTGCAGATGTTCAGACTTTGGCTAATCAGTTCGTGAGATTAGATGTTTCAGAACCCAGTCGGGTTCTAGCTTGCATAGTCGCTCGGTCTTCTTTATATAAGCGTATCAGAGAGCGACAATATGATGATCCTAATTTACTTGTCCTTAAGGACACGGTAGGGCACGGTGGTGCCAAACAGGTTGTTGTGGGTAAAGATGGAGTTCTGTGGATGCAGGGTCATATTTGTGTGCCTAATGTGGATGGGTTTCGTGAATTAATTCTTGAAGAAACCCACAGTTCCCGGTATTTTATTCATCCANAGTTCCAGATACTCTATTCATCCAGGTACCGCCAAAATGTATCAAAATTTGCGGCAACATTATTGGTGGAGGAGAATGAAAAAGGATATAGTGCCATATGTAGATCGGTGTCTAAATTGTCAACAAGTCAAGTATGAGCTTCAGAGACCTGGTGGTTTGCTTCAGAAGTTAGAAATTCTTGAGTGGAAGTGGGAGAGTATCACTATGGATTTTGTTGTTGGGCTCCCACGGACTCAGAGAAAATTCGACACAGTTTGGGTCATTGTGGACAGGTTGACCAAGTCAGCACATTTCATTCCAGTAGCAGTTACCTATTCTTCAGAACGGTTAGCGGAGATTTACCTCCGCGAGATTGTCCGCCTTCACGGTGTGCCCGTGTCTATCATTTCTGATCGAGGTACGCAGTTCACTTCGCAATTCTGGAGGGTTGTACAACGTGAGTTAGGGACGCGAGTTGAGTTGAGTACATCATTTCATCCTTAGACAGACGTACAGTCAGAGCGCACTATTCAAATATTGGAAGATATGCTTCGCGCTTATGTTATAGACTTTGGAGATTCTTGGGATCAGTTCTTGCCACTTGCGGAGTTTGCATATAATAACAGCTATCAGTCTAGCATTTAGATGACTCCATATGAAGCATTATACGGGAGATGGTGTTGTTTGCCCGTTGGCTGGTTTGAACTCGGAGAGGCTCGGTTGTTGGGTACCGATTTGGTACAGGATGCCTTGGATAAGGTCAAAATTATTCAGGATCGACTTCGCACAGCTCGGTCTAGGCAAAAGAGTTATGCCGACCGTAAAGTTTGTGATATTGCATTCATGGTTGGAGAAAGAGTAATGCTCCGGGTTTCACCTATGAAAGGTATAATGAGGTTCGGAAAGAAGGGCAAGTTGAGCCCTAGATATATAGGACCCTTCAAAATTTTTGAAAGGGTAGGCGAAATAGCCTACAGGCTTGCATTACCGCCTAGTTTATCAGCGGTTCATCCGGTGTTCCATGTGTCTATGCTCCAAAAATATCATGGTGATCCGTCCCATGTGTTAGATTTCAGCTCAGTCTAATTGGACAAGGAATTGACTTATGAAAAGGAGCCGGTAGCTATTCTAGCCCGGCAGGTCCGGCAGGTCCAACAGTTGAGGACTAAGAGTTATCCTTCAGTTCGGGTGCAATGGAGAGGTCAATCAATTAAGACAACTACCTAGGAGTATGAGTCGGACATGCGGAGTAAATATCCATACCTTTTCACCAGCTCAGGTACTTTTCTAATTCCGTTCGAGGACGAACGTTTGTTTTAGAGGTGGAGAATGTGATGACCCAAAAGGTCATCTTTAAATTTAATAATTATTTCTGTGTTCTGAAACCTCAAATAGAACTATTCATCATTTCTCGACTTACGTGCACAGTCCGTATAATTTTTCGAAAATTTTTTATGTGAAAAATGGATTAAAATGTGAAATAGAACTTTAAAACTCAAGTGAGTTGACTTTAGTCAACACTTTGAGCAAACAGACCCGGATCAGTATTTTGATAGTGTTGGTAGGTCTGTATCGTGATTTGGGACTTGGGCATATGCCCGAAATTTAAATTTGAGGTCCCTAGCTTGAGTTATCGCCATTTATTGGAAATTTGAAGTTTGAAAAGCTAAAGGTTTCCAAAGTTTGACCACGGATTTGACTTTATTGATATCAGACTCAGATTGAGATTCCAAAAATTGGAATAGCTCCATTATGTCATTTATGACTTGTGTGCCAAATCTGAAGTCATTCCAAATTCGTTTAATATGTTTTGGTACGAGTTTTGCAAATTGAAGAGTTTGAAACTCAAACGTCCGAATCGAGTTGTGAATTGTAATTTTGACGTTGTTTGACGTGATTTGATACCTCGAGTAAGTCCGTATTATGTTATGGGACTTGTTGGTATATTCGGACAGGGTCCTGAGTACCCCGAGTGTGATTCGGATCGAAATTGGATAAAAAATTGGACTTAAGCAAAATCTGGAATTTTGCTGCTTCTGGTGCCTTCGCTTCTGCGAAGCCTTGGCCGCAGAAGCCGCGCCGCAGAAGCGTGAAGTCCATCGCAGAAGCAGAGGAGCTGGGCAAGAAGCCGCAGAAGCGGAAAGCTGGACGCCTCTGCGAGTCCGCAGAAGCTGACATTTCATTCGCAGAAGCGGAAAGCAGCGCGCATGCGCATCTGTCATTGCAAAAGCGACGCCGCAGAAGCGAAAATTGACAGAAACATAAGGGATCGAAAATCAGTCATTTCGCCATTTTTGTTTGAGTTTTAAAACCTCGGATTTTTAGCGATTTGAAGGAATTTTTCACGACTTCGGACTGGGTAAGTGTTCCTTATTATATATTGATAATATCTCATAAATCCATGTCTATATTCATCATTATTTTGGATTTAGATGGAAGAAATTGGATTTTTTGTACAACTATTCAAAAAGAAAATTTAGGATTTGAAGGTCCATTTGACATCGGAATTCGATAATTTTTGTATAGTTGAACTTGTATCGGAACGGGTGTTCGAATTTCTTGAATTTTTTCGGGATTCGATACGTGAGTCCGGAAAATTAGTAAATTCATATGGAATCAATTCCTACGATTTGTATTGAGTATATTGAATTGTATATGACTAGATTTGAAGATTTCGGATACGAATTCGCTAGGCAAAGGTTTATTGAAATCTTGAATTTTGTTGCAAAGCGAGGTAAGTATCGTGGTTAACCTTGACTTGAGAGAATAGAACCCTTAAATTATTTGTTAAGTGAATTTCATGTGTAATGACGTATAGGCGAGGTGACGAGTGTCTATACGTCGTCAAATTAATTGTTTGCATAATTATTAAAAAATCATAAATTGTTTTAAGACACGAATTAATTGTTATAATAATTGTTTCTCTCATATTCATTGTCAAATATTAATTCTTGAATTCATGCAATAATTGTTACGTACTTATTTGATTTATTTGTCTTAATTGCTACTTGACATTTAGCATATTAAATATGAAATTGCCTATTTTCTCCTTGATTTTTATAATTAATTGCTACTTGCCATTACTTGTTTTCTAAATAATTTATAAATATTGTGTGCCTTGTTGCCTAATAATTTCTTACTGAATGTGGTATTTATGGGAGTATTTTTATTATATTTAAGAGTTATTAAATTATATTATTGGAGCGGGTTGCACACCGCAACAGAAATGAAAAGGAATATATTGAGGGATCGGGTTGCACACCGCAATATATTATATTTTAAATTTATATTGTTGGAGCGAATTGCATGCCGCAACGAAAATTTATTAAAGAATTATATTTGTTGGAGCGGGTTGCACGCCGCAACGGAAATTGATTGAAATAATAATTGGTTATGACTGCCGAGTTGGCTTCAACTGTTGAAATGAGTTACCTGTTTTATTTCTATTATTATTGTTATTACTATTATTGCGTACAAGTTAATGTAAGTGGCATACCTTAGCCTCGTCAATACTTCGTCGAGGTTAGGCTCGGCACTTACATAGTACATGGGGTCGGTTGTACTCATACTACACTCTGCACTTCTTGTGCAGATTTTGGAGTTGGTCCCAGCGGCGTACCATAGACTTGCTCGGATTTCAGCTACCCAGAGGAGACTTGAGGTATAACTGCACAACATCCGCAGTTCTAAAGTCCCCTTCTACTTTATTTTAACTGTGTGCTTTCTTTCAGACAGCTTTATTTTATTTAGAGCCTTATTTGCATTATTCTAGTAGCTCGTGCACTTGTGACACCAGATTCGGGGATGTATTTGGATGGTTCGTTTGTTATGGTCTTCCGCACTTTATTTCAGTAATGAACTACTGTTTAATTTAATTTGTTTTAAAAAAAATGGTAAAAATTATTCTAACATTGGCTTGCCTAGCAAGTGAAATGTTAGGCACCATCACGATCCTGAAGGTGGGAATTTCGGGTCATGACAATACACCAAAGAAGAGAAAGATATGGAACAAGTGTACCGGGATTTCGGATGCCGCACTAAATTTGATATCACACTTCAGTTGATATTTGATGATATTGAAATATTGAATATTGATACCACACTTCACTTGAATACTTGATATTTGATAATTATAATTTTGTAGTGACTAAAGTAAATATTTGATGAAACTTGAAATAATAAGTAATTGAGAATTTAAAAGCAATAAGCAATATTATCAAGAGAGAATTGAGAGAGAATTAGAGTAGTAAGAGAGCAAATTGTGAGAAAAAATGAAGAAGAAGAGGGGCTATTTATAATTTTTAAAAGGTTAAAATTGTAATTTATCAATTATTAAGGGTGGAGGGCTATTTTCTTAAGGGATAGGCAAAAATAGCCAAATTTGTAAAAAAATGGTTGTTGCCCAACTGTCATTTTTGACTTTGACCGTTGGCAACGGTCAAAAAATTTTAAAATAAAAATAAAAAATTTTAACGGCAATCGGGCTGGATCGGGTTGTAGCCCAGTAAAAACCCTGTAGTGGGTAACCGGNATATATATAAAATGAACTCCTCGTTCCTCAATTTACCTTCTTGGCCCTCATTAGCAACAATACGAACGCCACCCTATTTGTTCTCTTCTTCACTCATTGATCCTCCCTGTGTAAATTGGATTTTGCTCCTCTATAATTGTTAGGCATCTTGAATTAGAAGAACAAAAGGTTTTTCGTTTCTCCTAGCATGGAAATACAAGACAATGGTTCGTTGGATAAAGCTAAAGAGAAGATCTTCCAAACTTTCTCAGAGTTTATGATTAGGTTTATTCCCAACTCTGCCTACCTTGAAAAACTTATGCTTTCTCATAGTTGTCCTTACATTTCCCTCTTCATTTAAATTTATTTTACAAGCAAACAAGAATTACTGTATTTCATTGTACACCCTTTAAAAAGTAAATATAGTTCGTTAATCAATAGATGGCCAAATAGAAATTTCTGTATAAAAAAATAACTGATATTTCTGGAGAATTTTCTTGAAGTTAAGCCATAGTTTTTTTTTCTTTTCCTTTTTACTGAGATTAAGAAAGTGGTTAAAAAGTTTGTGAAATGTATATTTTTTGTTGCTCCTAAATAATAGCCGACAAAATATATATTTTTTGTATCTATGTATGTTATACATATTTTATATACTTTTTGGCTAGCGGGATGTAATTATTTTTGGCCGACCAGCCAATTTTGTATTTTGTCCAAAAAAATTTCACATTTTTTTAAATAAAATTGCAAACGTTTTTTGCAAAATAAATTTTTTGTAACTTTTTAGGACAAGCACTAGTACTATTATGTTCATCAAAGTTTAGGCATATAGTAAGAATTCACCTAGTGTTGAAACTTTGGTTCCCATTGCTGATTATCGAGCTATTTCTGCTTTGTTGTGCAACTTAGGTTCGTTTTCTCTATTTCAGGATTACAAAAATTGATGAATTAGCGGAAGTGGGAAGTAGATTGCTAGTTGGTTTTCAGCAAGGACTCGGTAAGTGTTGTAGCATCCATTTGTGTGAATCTACTGTAAGAATACATAAATGCTCTTTAGTGAACCTTGCTTGTTTGCCTGCTTTTGTCAGAGTATATGCGACGTCCACCAATTGAAAAGAATTCCGGATTGGTTGAGCGCATTATTAGAGAGAATGAAACCAAGAGGCTTTCCTCCTACGTAGAAGCTGGATGTTTGAATGCTCATGACACTCTACAAAATATGTCCAAGTGTAAGTGTTTTACATATCTGGAATCTATACCTGCAGCCGAAAAAAGAAATAGTTAATGTGAAGGAATTATATGAGGTCGTTCATTTTCTCTCTTGTTTTTACAATGATTGAGTTTTTTTGCATTGATACATATTGTGTATACAGTCAAACCTCTCTATAACAACCATCCTCTATAACATCATTTCACTATCACGGCCAAATTTTCTTTGGAACCAATCTTTCATGTTATGTTATAAAATATGTTATCTATAGTAACACTTACTATGACTGCCAAAAATGTCATTTCTTTGTCGCTGTTATAGAGAGGTTTGACTGTACGTGCTACTTATGTATGATGATATTGTCATTTCTTTGTCGCTGAGGGAGTTTAGGTTGTATAATTCTGTTCCGCTAATAACCTTTCTATATAGTAGGCTATTGAAATATCTTGTTACTAATTTTTGATATATCTATAAATTAAAAAGAGGAGTGACAAATTGATCTTTTTTTGATTTTGATTTTTGTTGTTGTTGCTGCCTTCCCTTAATTTTCTTGTGTACATCTTGACCAGTCGAATTTCTCCTTTTTGTTTCCAAATTTTTTACTAGATTTTTTGGTGTTATTTACCTTCATAACATGGATTGTGCTTCTGCACAGAAGTACATACATGCCATCTTGGACTTCAGGATCACATAAACAAAGGTATTTCATGTGCCCTGAATTAATAATTTTTTGCATATCATCTTTAAGTATGTTAAGTGACACCTTCTTCATTGCCACACACCACACACGTCTATGTTGCACGCACTCTTCATTTTAGCCGCCTCACCCGTGTCGATACGACACTAGTACTGGTAAGGGTGGGGGATTCGTACCTGGTGTGGTCAATTTAGATCGGGTACTTTGACCACAATCCATGGACAAATTTGAGGAAAAATGAAAGATTGAATTTTAGTTGTCACCCGTATCGATACGACACTAGTACTGGTAAGGGTGGGGGATTCGTACCTGGTGTGGTCAATCTAGATCGGGTACTTTGACCACAATCCATGGACAAATTTGAGGAAAAATGAAAGATTGAATTTTAGTTGTCACCCGTATCGATACGACACTAGTACTGGTAAGGGTGGGGGATTCGTACCTGGTGTGGTCAATCTAGATCGGGTACTTTGACCACAATCCATGGACAAATTTAAGGAAAAATGAAAAATGAAAGATTGAATTTTAGTTGTTGCTTGTTAGTGCCTAGTGCCTACAACTTAAGAAATTCCCAAAATGAAAGATTGAATTATTGGCTTCAATCCACAACCTATAAATTTTCCACAGAATATTTCTCATAATTTAGGATATTTTTATTGATTTATTTTTAGAATTTTGAATTATTATTAGCTAAATCTCCGCACCCGTATCCGTACCTGGAACTGTATCCCCGAATCTTAAAATTTAGATTATGAAGGATCCGATCTCTAGATATGCCCCAGGATCTGATATCCCCTCCTAGTTTGAGCAACATAGACACACGTTGGTTCGAGTTAAGATTAACAACACCGTAGGGGTAAAAAGGTACAGTTTGAGCAACATAGACACACGTTGGTTCGAGTTAAGATTAACAACACCGTAGGGGTAAAAAGGTACAGTTTGAGCAACATAGACACACGTTGGTTCGAGTTAAGATTAACAATACCGTAGGGGTGAAAAGGTTAATTCAACTTACAAAATTTAATTAAGTCTCTTGATCTGGAACACATATGGTGCAATGTACGATTTTATATCCAGAACTGTATATAAGAGTGTGAACAGAGTAACACTACTTGAATAACCAAGATGTGCTACATTCAGAATGAGTGTTAATTGAAGTTTTACTTGAGCTTATTCGACGCTACTATTGGTTTTTTCATTTAGCTTTACCCTGCATAGTTGAATGTCCTACTTTTCGTTACAGCTTTTATGTTAAGTGAAACAGTTATCTGAATTTTTCAATTGGAGTTGGAGTTTAGATTACAAAATGCTCATATTTAATTGCAGCAAAATGTGTAGTTGATGAACTTGCCTGCCTTTTAAAGGACGCGGAAGCTGTAGTGCAAGTGATGAATTGTAGTTTGGCTCAAATGGGGGAAAGAAATGTTGACACTGGTACAGATTCGTTGGAAACCTCTAATTATGAAGTAAGTTCCTTTTTTCTTTAGCCACTTGCATGTTTGAGCTTTTAATATGTATTATTAAAACTAAACCACTAATCATTATTAGCTACCCCTTCACTTAGAACTGAATCACTAATCATTCTGTTGGGAAATACCTAAAAGTAGATATTGTTTCTCTATTCTGTTGTTTTATTTGGTTTACATGATGAATGTTTGAGACTTGATCAAGAGTATTCTATGAAATAGTTGTTAAAAAAAAGGTGGGATTACACATCAATAGTTTTCTTTATTCTGGAATGAACTTAAGAAAATAGAATGCAAGAAGTTGATATTGGAAATCCAGATAAATCCTTTCATTTTTTTTGTTGAAGAAGTTCCAATAAAGAAAAAGAAACTAAAATCAAGTTAACTTAGTCATATTACTGAGTTATGAAGTTCACATTATTACTTCTGCTATTCAGCCTATTCTTAGGATTACCATAACCAAATATCATTTTGCATTAGATTGCTAGAATATCACAGTACATGGCAGTGGTGTTTCTGAATATCTAAGTCAATCATGTTTTTTAGGCTGACGTAGAACCTTATATGTTTCCCTTATGACTGTTTAATTTTATTGATTTTTAATAATATGCCTATGTAGGAGGAAGGGCTGCCTGTTGATGTTTTGAAACATGAAGTCATTGATATCGCAACAATGATGGCAATATTATACGGCATGTTGAAACATGACTACACAATGCAGGTAATAATCCTTTTCCGTTCCAAGATATTCATGTTAATAGAGTTAGTTGCCTGTCTATGGTAGTGGATATATTCATACATGATCAGGACATTAGGTGGTTACTGACTTTAGCCAAGCATTTTTCCTGTAACAGGAAAAGATAGTTTCTTCGCTTAACCTTACTTCATCTTCTGGACAACTGGAAAGCTACTCCAGCATGTGGTCGTTGCGCCCTTACATAGACGATGAAATCATGCATAAAGCTTGGAAACTTGTAGGCCGCTAACTCTTTCTCTCTTCCTGTTTCTTATTTTGGTGAAAGATCCTCAAATATCTTTATCCATGTCGAATAAGCTTTACTATAGCATCGTTCTGGAAATTTGTTTGAAGCAATAGGAGACGCTGTTCGTCTGGTACTAAAGGGAAAATGACAGGAAAAGGAAATAGAACAGTAGGGATGGGGTGAAGAATATGTGAATCTTCTAGTATTGTTGTTTGTTAATTATTGGTTCAATGTTTATGACTGCCATTGCACTGAATCAACATTCAACACATTGACTTCTGTCTTCTTCTTCTTCGTCTTCTTTTTTTTTTTTAATTTTTTTTTTTTTTATGGGAATCGTCCTGAATTTCTGTTTGATTTCTGTCTTTCGGAAGTCACATAGTGACTGTCTACTTTCACTTAAAAATGTTGCCTTCTGTTCTTACTTCTTAGTATGTGATTGTGGAACATTCCTTCAAATATCATCAAACAGCTTTATCTGTATCAGACAAGATTTACTATAGCTTACTGCTATTAATCAAGCAATATATTCATCTTTCAATCCTTTTTTTGTCATTTAACATTTGTCATGTTTAAGTAAATGTAACAAAGATCTTCATTCCATTCTTCTCATGAAATCTTACAATTATTATATTCTCCATATTATGAATTTATGATGTGTAATTGCTTTATGGTGAATAAAATCATAAATAAATAAAATCAGGTCTAAATTTTGTTAGTATCGGGTCGTTAAAAGAATTTTGGGCTGTAACCTAAATTGTTGAGTCTGCGAGCTAAACAATTAAAGGGAAATTGGCACGGTATGACAACGTACCCAGATAAACAAGTGAATTTGACTAACAATTATAAAACAATTTTTTGCCGATTTGCAATTAAGAAAAATTTCATTTCATGTAATATTTCAACGCTTATCACTTCTCTAGGTAACCTTTTTTCCAGGAAAGCTATAATATTTTAAATCTTTTAAAACTCGTATTTGTTATGTAACAAGGGAAAGTATGTTATAACAAGTTTTTCTTTTGATTATATGGTATTCGAAATTCACTAGTTGAATTAAATCAGCATTTCGTACGATTTTTTTTTTTTTTTTGGGCTGAAAGATGCATATATTATTAAAAGCAGTAAAGGAGTTTAGAGTATACTCTCTCCGTTCACTTTTACTTGGCAAAAGTAAAAGTAAAAGGAGTTTAGTTGGCATATATTATTTTATTTTAGAGTATACTAAAAATAGATTTTTATTTTTACTTGTCATTTTACACATATCAAAAGAATGATAAAAAAAATTTCATGTTATACCCACGGTATTTATTACTCATTTCAAATTATTTTCTCAAATCCAATAGAATATGCATCAATTAATATGGGTATCATGGTAAAATATGCACTTTATTTATTATTTTTTAAGGGGCGTAAAAAATCAAAACGTGTCAAGTAAAAGTGAACAGAGGGAATATATTATTACAAACGAGAATTGATCTTATCGGAACAATTCCGATAAAGTCTTTGTGAAATTTAAACAAAGCATGTAAAGATGAAAAGTCCCAAAGGTTCCAAGCCAAAGATTGTTTTTGATTTCCCATGTTGAGCCAGCACGTCTGCCACTTAATTTGCTTCCCAAAAAACATGTTGATTGGAAAGACAGAATTTATTCATTCCCCCAAATGCTATGACAAGTTAATACTCTCTGGTCTACAATAAGTAATTTTTTTATTTTTTTTTATGGTTCAAAATAAGTGATTTTTTCAGATTTCAAAATGAATTATTTCTTTTTTTCCTACATTGTCCTTGGAATAAATAGTGTTGGAGTATGTGTTAGGAGTGTTTATGTGAATAAATACAACAACAACATCCCAGTATAATCTCACTAGTGGGGTCTGGGAGGGTAGTTTGTACGCAGACCTTACCCCTACCCTGGATAGAGAGGTTGTTTCCGATAGACCCTCGGCTCCCTCCCTCCAAGAACTCCCAACCTTGCTCTTGGGGTGAATCGAACTCACAACCTCTTGGTTGAAAGTGAAGGGTGCTTACCACTAGAGCAATCCATTCTTGTCAAATATGTGAATAAATAGTAAAGGTTAATATGTTTAATTTTATTACTAATTAATATTAAAAGATGAATTTCTTAATCTGTTTGAAAACAACCAAAAAAATCACTGAGTGTGGACCGGAGTGAGTATCAATTTTTGCTACTGAAAAAACAAAAGCCACTCATTTTGCCCTACTACTTCCAATACAATCTTAGAAAGTGGAGATAATAAGGAAAAGGTTGCCCCTCCATTTACTTTCATTACAAAAATGTACACGCGTTTACACATTGAACCAAAGTTGGAGAAGAAAAGTAGTCGGGAAAAAAAAAACCAATTGAAAAAGTACAAACATTTAAAAATATAGCCAAAAAATTTAACACTAAATCAACATGCTATTGCATATATAATCACGTGCTAGAAAATGTTAAATATCATAGCCTTAAAGGAATTAGATTCCCACAAAAGCACAATGAAGGAGAGATGTAAGTGGTTTAAGGGACTATTGAGTGGTCAAAAAGCAAAGAAAATCACTATTTTACTTGACAAAAGATAGCTTAAAGCAAACACATAGGTAAAGAATCTAAACATAGCTTTATATTGTTATAAACACCATTTCTTCACAATGTTACAACCTACCAAAAACTCCACTAATAAAATCTCGATATTCCATTTCAATTCTTGCCTTTGAAATTTTTTTGAATTCATCAATAGAATTCCAATTCAAAACATGGAAAGCAATAGCACAAAGGTGGAAATGATAAAGCCAGTATTTCTCAAAGCTGGAATTCCTATAGCCATAACTTTGGCTGGATATATTATTGCCAAAATCACAACAAAAAGAAGCTCAATTTTGACACATTCAACAAATCAAGAAAATTCTCAAGAAATTATAACTGATCAACATGATATCTCAAGAGATGAAGTTGGCCTTAATCAAAATCTTGATTATTCAGAATATGAAGATGATCATTCTTCTACACATACCATTTACAAAGATTCAGCAGAAAGTTTTCATTTTCAAGATAAATGCAAATTTGAAGAAGATTTGCTAAGCTTAAGAAGGCGAACGGATGATATTGAAGAGAGGGAACATCAATTAGAGGCCAGGTTTCAACAATATACTCACTTAAAAGATCAAGAAATTGCACTTATGGATATGCAAAACAAGTTGTTATTAGAGATCAATAAAATTGAGTTCTTTGATAAGGAAATAACACTAATGGAGGGAGAAAACCAAAGATTTCAGAATATGGTAATTGAATATTTGAGAATTATGGAACTTCTTGACTTGTCACAATCAGAAAATAAATTGCTTCACAAAAAGGTTAAGAAGCTTTTGAAGAAGATCAAAGAACATTCAATTGTTTTGAAGGAGCAGAACTTTCAACTTGAAGCTAAAGAAACAGAAATTTCAAGAAATCAACAAGGGCTAGAAATGAAAGATCATATTATCAAGAAAATGGAATTACATATTGAAGAGTTGAAAATGGCTATTGAGCAATTGCAAGAGGAGAAGACTGGACTACATAGAAAGCTAGAAGTGGGAAAGAATTCAAATCCATCCAAGGTAAGCCTTTTTTTGCAATAAGCCTATTCATAGTTTATTGAACCAAACTCATAAAACTAAATTTTGTAACGAAAAAAATAACTTAAGTAATATCTACATGTAAATGAACCAATTTTAATGAATTCGTTGCACCAAATGTACGGAGACTTTGCAAGTATTGAAGTTGAAGTTCCTCGAAAACTTTACATTGTTTAATTCAACTTTGATTTAAATTTATTTTATTTAAATCACTTGTTGTTCTTCTTGGTCCGCTATTTTTGAAATAATATTGGCATTTACCTGCTTTTTGGATTAAAGAAAAAATATTAAATAATACAAACGAATAAACAAAGTATAGTAAATTAAAAATTTTAAATTAGGTAGTTTTTCTAAATTCTAAAAGTATTTACAACATCCCAATTTTAATTAATTCGTTGCACCAAATGTACGGAGACTTTGCAAGTATTAGTGATTGAAGTTGAAGTTACTCGGAGACTTTACATTGTTTAATTAAACTTTGCTTTAATTAAATGCCTATACATTTTGCACTCTTAAATTAGTCGATCGAACTCTATACTAACCAGATAATGATAAAATATATTTGAATATATATGTACATACATGATGATCATCTGCATATAATATACAATAAATATACTCACTAAATTCTACGATGTGTATATGATTGAAAAATAAATAAATTTTAAACCAATTTTATTTATTATTTATTACAAAAAGAGAAATGAGTGCATTGGTAATAAAAAAAATTATAAATAATTTGTATAGTCTAGTAACTTTAGCATTCACATCAATAGTAATTTTTTTAATTAAAATAGTGGACCAAGAAGAACAACAAGTAATTTAAATAAAAGGAATTTGGGAGATTTTGGATTACTTAACAAATCAATTGGTATTTTTAAAAGTTTGCTTATTGTAGGGATAAATTTGGCCCGATAATATAACAGTAGGGATAAATTCGGCCCGATAACATAACAAAGATTAAATACAGACAATATATGAAAGTAAAATGCTATATTTGGCTTTTTTCCCCATAAAAATATGTCTGAAAAATACTGAATTTGGTCTCGAAAAATGCAAGTAGACTGCCACATATATATTATTGTCGTGTAAGTGTAGTCATGTGAGCAACTTACTTTACATAATATCCACTTGGCATCTCTTAGAAAAATAACTCAACTTACATATTATCTACTCACTTGGCATTTTTTCCGCCATTTCTTGTTTTATGTGACATATCGACATAGTTAAGTTATGTTTTCATTACAAAAATTAGTTTTATAACCTAGTGCAATAAATCTATAGTTGCATAACCATCCGTGAAATTAACCGGCCTATATATTATATACATGAGATTAGTCAAAATAGCATTGGCTAGCCAATTTTTAGACGGGTAATAGCCAGAATTTGTAAAGTCCTTGAAAAATAATCACTATTTTATGCAGAGATAAAATCTGGACGAAAATATCATAGTTGAAATACGGAAAATTCCAGCATAATATGTTGGATTATGGAGCACATACGTATAAACTTCCAGCATATTATGTTGGAACTCCAGCACATTCTGAAATTCCAACACATTATGCTAAAATCTCGTATGTAAAAAATTCAAACTCCAGTATATTATGCTGGAATTTTTTCGGATTTTTAAGGGTGTTTTGTAGATTTTATTTTTACATGAAAAAAGTGACTAAATTTTTATTTTTAAAAAAAAATTATGACTAATTTTTAATTAACAATTGTAAATCAAGCTATTTCTGATTTTTTCGCATGAGATTATGAATACATTATTGAAAAGTTCCTTGTTTTGCAGAATGATGTGGAAGTGGTAACAGTAGAAGATTACAAAGAATTGGCAAATGAACTTGAGCAACTGCAGAAGGATAAAGCTACTGAAGACAAAGAACTAATATACTTAAGGTGGTGCAATGCATGTTTAAGGCATGAATTAATGAGGAGGAATCAAGAACAAATGGAACAAGAGAAAAACCATGATCAAGAATTGAATTTGGGAGAAGAAAATACAGAAATTGTAACAGAATTTGTACCAAAACATGAATTAATTATGAGGAGGAGTTCATCAATGGGACACAATGAATCTTGCTTAAGTTCCCCTATTAATGAAGGCCATTCAAATGATCATTCCAAAAGGAGAAAATTAATACAGAAGTTCAAGAAATGGGTAGAGGGAAGTGATAAAATGAAACATGAAACCAATTGCTTTAAAAGGCAGACTGTTTCTGATTGTACTGAGGAATTAATGATTCCTGCTAGAAAATCATGTTCTAGTGCCTAATTATGTGTATTTGTCATTCATTCATGATTTGTCTACTTGCAATATTGGAGGTTAGATTTATGTAGCTCCTAACTAATGAAAATGAGCCAAAACTTTATAAATGCATTGTGAGATCTTAGGGGCGGNATATACTAAATCTCGAACCCAGTAATTCAAATAGTCAATGTTATTCAGTGACATTTGGAACCCATTCGATCGAACTAGTAGCTTTTTTCTTCTAATTGCTCCAATCATCCTTTACACATCCTGTTGACAATTGCTTCGATCATCCTCTTCACTTCGTAATTCGACATAAATGGAGTTTGGAGAGATTGATGTATTGTGAAAAATTTTAACCCAAGTATTGGCGAAAGGAGCTTTGGGTCACAACCGATGCTACTCCTCAACCATTGGATTTTTCTTTCTTGTTTAATTTTCTTCTTCTTGTCTCTTCTCGGAATATTGAGGGTACCTAAATATTGATGGTCCTAAATATTGATGGTCTATTGCTTCTTCTCTTTTACTCAACATATACTAATTGGTATTTTCAAATCGAAAAAGGGTCAAAAATACCCTTACCCTACTAATAAAAAATATCATCCTTCCACCTATTGGGCCATAAATGCCTTCAGCCTTAGTTTTTGGCTTAAAAATGCCCTTAAGACTAACAATTGACTTGTTTTTCCGTATTCAGATGCTTCAAGTGGAAAATTGTGTAAAGTTTTAGCTGCAATTACCAAAAATACTCTTCCCTTCACCGAAGATCTAAACAAATTCTCCGTCTTCTGCCTCATTTCTTTTTTTCCTATTCTTTTTCTTGTAATTAGGATTGTTCACTTCCCCCAATCTTAATAGCATATTCTGATTTCATAGATGGATAGGTCTTAAACGTTTTTCTTTACTGTAATTTCAAAAAAATTCAGTTTCAACTTATATTGTGATATCAATATCTTCTAGGCCTTTTTTTTTTGGGTACTACTGCAGAAAGATCGATTGTCTTAAATTTACCCATATGTGCCTCCTTTGATCAACTTAGTTCTCATCCACTTTGCCACTTGCTTCTTTATTGGATTTTCGCACTTACTCGGAGAATAGAATTTGAAAATACCAATTAGTATCTGTTGAGTAAAAAAGAAGAAGCAGTAGACCATTAATATTTAGATACCCTCAATATTCAGAGCAGATACAACAAGAAGAAAATTAAACAAGAAAGAAAAATCCAACGGATGAGGAGCAGGCATCGGTTGTGACCCAAGTCTCCTTTCGCCCAATACTTGGGTTAAAATCTTTCACAATACATCAATCTCTCCAAACTCTACTTATGTCGAATTACGAGGTGAAGAGGATGACCGGAGCAATTGTAAAATGGTTAAAAGAATAGAGTTATACACCCAAATTATCCATTAAAAAATAAGTTAGAATAATAAAAATTTTAAAAACGGGTCGAATATGGATAATAACCATATTATCCACTTAGAAAATAGTTAACTAAATGGATAACTAATGCGTTTAACTTTTACATTTGTAAAGCCTCAAATTGGTGGTTGCTCAAGTTTGGAAGACTAATAATTCTCCTCAAATTGATCATATTCAAGAAGCCATGGATAATATGGATAGTCATATTATACGCCGGATAATCCATTTTTTATCCGTCTCAAATACTGGTCAGGTCGGATAATTTATCCGTTTTTTAAATTATCCGTTTTCGACTCGTTCATATCCAACCCGACCCGTCCGTTTGACACCCCTGCTAACGACATGTTAAATTTAAATAAAATTAACCTTTGATGTGGACCATTAGAGAAGCGACACATGTATTTTTATAAAAACCCACCTAGCCAACAAGTCAAACGTTAGTATTAGGGACATTTCCAAAAAATAAGGTTGAGGGCATTTATGGTGAAGGGTTATTTTTTGGCCAAATTCAACAGGTTAAAGGACATTTTGACCCTTTACTGTTTTCAAATTCTATTCTCCTAGTAAGTGCGGAAATCCAATAAAGAAACATCGGTAAAGTGGATAAGAATTAAGTTGATCAATCGATCTTTCTGCAGTCGTACCAAAAATTGAGGTCTAGAAGATATTGATATCACAATATAAGTTGAAATTGAGTTTTTTTGAAATTACAGTAAAAAAAAAAAACGTTTAAGATCTATCCATCTATGAAATCAGAATATTCTAATAAGCAGTGGCGGATCCAGGATTTTATGCAAGCGGGTTCAATATTAAAAGTACATAACTTTAGTCGTAAAATAGTAGTACTCAAGTGATTTCATTTGAACCCGCTTGACACCATGTGCGTCCGCCACTGGCTAATAAGATTGGGGGAAATGAACAATCCTAATTACAAGAAACAAGAATATGAAAAATGAGGCAGAAGACGGAAAATTTGTTTAGATCTTCGGAGAAGGGAAGAGTATTTTTGGTAATGGCAGCTAAAACTTTACACAATTTTCCACTTGAAGCATCTGAATACGGAAAAACAAGTCAATTGTTAGTCTTAAGGGTATTTTTAAGCCAAAAAATAAAGTTGAAGGCATTTATGATCCAATAGGTGAAAGAAGAGTATTTTTGAACCAAATTCAATAAGTTAAAAGGCCATTTTTGACCCTTTTCCATACAATCAAATAAATTTGTCTATCAAGATTTGATCGGATACGAATAGCTACAGTTGAAATTCTAAGTTTAGGGACCTTTAATGTATTTCTTAGGGAAAAGAATAGAGCAAAATGTACAATTGGAAGTTCATATTGAGGAAAGACGGGAATATATTGTCATGGGGTTGTCCCAAGTGATCTGTGTACAAATTGTGGTTCATATTAAGGATGTTATCTCTATTTTCCCTCTCTAAAAAAACATGACAAGGAAAAAAAAAAACTCAATATGAACCATAACTAATTTTGTTCCTACTTCCTCAACTGTCAACACTCTTTTGCTCTTCAATGGATCTTCTCCTCTACCATCCTCTCAAATCCACCCCTTTTCTCCACTCTCTCCCTTCCACTTCCCTCTCAAGTAACTCTCTCACACACACACACACACACTCACACTCAAAGAAAGAGAAGATGATAATGTTATTAATTAACTGAAGCTAAATTTTGATTCTTGAATTGACAGGAAACAGACCCTTTTCCACCAACTGGAGTAGAACAGCTTTACCTTGTGTCTGCTCTTCAACATCATCACCATTGGAAGCTTCACCCAAAATTCCTTCTTTGCAGAATGAAGGAAGAAGGGCCTTAATGGGTTCTTTTCTTATAGCTGGTTTGCTCCCTTCATTTCTATTTCTAGCTACGGGTTCGGACGAACCCAATAGATTTTGCTTAGACCCTATATTTGTATTAAGAAAATTCATTAAATATGTATAAATAATTAATTGCAAACCCAATAACTAAGACGAGCTATGAGTTCGGTTACAAAATAAGAATCCATGAACTTCAAATCATAGCTCCGCCTCGACTATAACTAAGGTTAAATGTCTTCAAATTTATGCACATAGACTTGTAAAATCAATATTTCTTGAAATTTGTTGCTAATCGTCATTTTAATACATTGCATTCTAGATTTTGTATAATGTGTTATAATTGGTATTTATTGAATGAAATTAGTATTCAGAGTGTTGGTAGTTGCTTCAAGTTTCTTTTCAAGATACTACCTGTTGCATTTGATTGGGCACGGATATTAAGAAATAAATAAATACTTTTGAAATTTGTGATCTAAAACAAGTTATAGATATTTCTGTGGATACAAACTGTCTCGTTAAGATTAAAATGAGAAGTTAAAAAGAATTGTTTCTGAATATAAAAAAAGGTCATATTTTTTGCGATTGGCTAAACTTTTTTTAATGAATTGTGTTACTTATTTGGGCTCTTTCACTATTCAGCTGCTGCCTTTTGTCTTAGTGATGTGGCTGAAGCTGCTAGCACAAGCAGAAGAGCTGTAAGAATAACTTACCACCTTATATCTCACTGTTGGAAATCTCCTTTTCTGTATTTATGGATTTTTTTTATATTTTTCTTTCTGCAGCTTAGGGGAGCAAAAATACCAGAGAGTGAATACACAACCCTTCCTAATGGTCTAAAGTTAGTATACAATTTTGAAGCATTGAATCACTGTTTTCCCTGCATTTGGATTTCCTATACTTGGTTGTTAGTTGTTAACAGAATATAAAAGCCTTGGACTTGCAACAATATAAGTGTAGCTAACTCGAGTCCAGGAATGCAATATCTTAGTTCAACATATAATGTACACATTTGCTCATGCCAAGACATTGTGCCTTTCCTGTTTTCTATCTATGTG